AGTGCACTCTCTCTCTCTCAAATAAATAAATAAAATCTTAAAAAAAAAAAATAAATAAAGGCACCAGTCATATTGGATTAAACCCCACCCTAATGACCTTCTCTTAATTTGATTACCTTTGCAAACATCCTATTTCCAAATAAGGCCACATTCACAGGTACCTGGGGTTAGGATGTCAACACCTTTTTTTGCAGGGAGGGGTACACAATTCAACTTGTAACACTTACCTACCAGTTCCATATGGTCAACTTTCTTTGTGCTAATCTTTTATTTTCCTTTTGTCCTGATTCCCTGGATTACTTAGTTTTTTCTTAATTGTATGCCTCTTGGCAGAATCTGAAGGGAAGAGGGCAGGCAGGAAGGAAGACAGGAGAGGAAGTGAGGGAGGAAGAAAAGTTTGCCAAGAAAAATCAGACCTGGAACTTGGGGAACAGAGTTGCAGGAATGGGCAATGGGATGGGGAAGATTGGCTGGAAAAGTGTTCTCAGAATTACTCGTGTGTGTGGGGGTGGGGGAGTGGGAGAAGTGGTTAGCAGCTGCCTACAGCTTAGCCGACCTAGAGAAAAGTGGGACGTAGTTTGAAGAGCTGAGGATTGGGAGAAGGGTATGATCTAGCGACCTTTAAGAAATTATTTATTTATTTACTTACTTAATTCCTATATAGTTAACATATAGTGTTATATTAGTTTCACGTGTATAATATAGTGATTCAACAATTCTATACATTACTCAGTGCTCATCATGATAACTGTACTCTTTATCCCCATCACCTATTTCACCCATCCCCACACCCACCTCCCCTCTGGTAACCATCAGTTTGTTTTCTATAGTTAAGAGTCTATTTTTGGTTTGTCTCTTTTTTCTTTGTTCATTTGTTTTGTTTCTTAAATTCCACGTATGAGTGAAATCACATGATATTTGTCTTTCTCTGACTTATTTCATTTAGCAGTATACTCTAGCTCCATCCACGTTGTTGCAAGTGGCAAGATTTCATTTGACCTAGCTACTTATAATACCCATATTAATAGACAATTTTGGATCCAGGTTTTGTGGTGCTTGGAAACTTATATAGTGTTCAGAATCCATGTATTCTAGTTACTGGGGACACAGACCCATATATCATTGATTTAATGTATACAATTTATCCTAGAGGCCAGTGCCCTAACCTCATGGGATATCATTCCCCAAATGACACCTTAGCTGACGTTTAATAAACTGTTCTAATGGTGTATCAGGCTAGCTGCTTCTAGATGTATATATTTTATAGGATCAGCCAAAGCTACTGAATAAACCAGCATTTCCTCTTTCATCTGTTCCTCATCTTAATCCATTACAGTTGAGAACTTTTATCCTTCAGTTACAGCACACCAAGGGTATCATCACGCCCTTACCCATAGAAATGGGGTCCTTGTTACCATCAGAGGGCTAAATAATCCAGTTCCAAAATCCCATCCTGAGGTTTGGAGGTTCAGAATTTTTGAGCTTCTACTTTCTGGAGCCACTCTGGTACCTACTTTCTTAGCTGGGGCTCCCCCAAATGCAGTGACTGAGACAAGAGCTAAATGTGGGTGGTCTGAGAGGTGATCACAGGAAGCAGGTCTGGGGCAGCAGGGAGAGTAAGAAAGAAATGCTTGCCAAAATGAAGAGGCTTAATTTGTTAACTATGAATGTGTGTCTTTCATATAATGTCTTCATTTTATATTTGTAATTACAATTGTAACAAAAGTTATTCCTACATAGTGGGCTATTTTCAATCCTTACCTCTTGGCTTTTTCAGACCCAACTTCCTCATTTTTTTATCTTTATCATTTTCTATCATCCAGTGTTAGAAAACATGTTAACATAGACTTTAAGCTTATTTCATTGGATGGCTTTTTGCTTGAAGACTTCTGTAATTATTTAAAAATATCTTTGAAACTCGACATTTTCACTGTAATTACGTATAAGTACACATTTCTTTTTGCTTGAAACATAGTGAACTAAGCTTGAAGTTTATCCTGGAGGAAGTTTTAAGCAAGAGCGTTAATAGTGAGATTTGTATTTTAAGTATACCGCTTTGGGGAAGTAGGGGAAATGTGTTTGAAGAAAACATACTAGAGACCAGTAGGCCAGTTGGACTATTGCAATATTGTGGGTCAGAACTGAGATCTTCTTGAGATTCAACCTGTTCAATATGTAGCAGAAAGTAATAAACAAGAGAATGTACGATGGGTTAGTAATAAGTAGCTCCAACATGGTTTGTAGTTCTCCTATCTCCCTGACATCTGTTACCTGCCTTGGTGTACCTGAGGAGACTGAGCTGCTGCTCAGACAGCAACACCCCCATGTACTCACCTCTAGAAAGTAGTGCTCCCCAGGGTGGCCTTTTCCAGGTCACTGGAACGAGAGGAAAACATGGGTAGCAGCCCCTCCTATGGGAACACTCAGGGAGGCATGAGACAATGATTTCTAGTTCTCAGAACTATTAGGAAGGAATTGTACTAGGATTCATCTCAGATTTTCAATACCTTTTCAGAATCCATTAGTTCCCCATCCTGTATTCTGTTGTGGTTTATGTGCACCCGTTCACCATGGACTACTCTATGCCTATGACTGTGGGAGGCTTACAGGACCCACTTGCTACCATTTTACATTTTTCTTCTCTTAGAGTTGCCAAGTTCCTCATAAAGGCCCATGGTACATTTTCTGGCTGCTTCATTTGGCCCCACATTTGCAATTTCTGTTAACCTACATACAGTTGAATGGACAGTCAGAATCAAAACTATATGCTGTGAGACACAGTAAGGAATGTTTATGTATAAAATAAGGACTACTTTTTTTTTTACGACCACATCTTTTTTTTTTTTTAAAGATTTTTATTTATTTATTTGACAGAGAGAGACACAGTGAGAAAGGGAAGACAAGCAGGGGGAGTGGGAGAGGGAGAAGAAGCGAG